ACAAGGAGCTGGCTCGTGCAATCATAGAGGCTGACAAATTCCAAGTAGTGCAGTTGGCAAACTGGAGACCCAGGAGAGTCAATGTCCCTGTTCAAAAGATGGTAGGTAAGAGGTCCTCTTACTCAGACAGGATCAGCCCTTCTACTCTATTCAAAGCTTCAACTCACCTAAAGGAAAGCTGTCTGCTTTACTTAATCTACTGATTCACATTTTAACCTTGTTCAAAAATGCCTGCACAGAAAAATCCAAAATAATATTTGATCATCCAGCTGGGCACCCACCTCATTGCTTAGTCAAGCTGACTCGAAATTAACCAACACAGACCCGTAGAAAAGGGCCAGATCAGCACAGTGGCAAAACAGAACCAGGAAAGATCAAGTGAGGAGGCACCAGAGTTGATGGCAAAGTCACCTTCTAGAGAGAAACAGGAACCATTCTCGGTGAGAAATGGAGCCTTTCCAGACTGCTGAGATTGCCCTGCATTCTTCCAGCCCCCTATCTATGATGAATCTCTGCGACTGACTTCCTCTTTCAGGTACCCAGAACAAGTCTGTCGTGGATCTCTTTGCATTTATGAGGTAGTACCATTCTTTAACTTTAGAGTAACTATTTATCAAATGATGGGCCATACTTGGTGTCAAGTACTGGCATGTCATGGACCACATACCCTTGGTTCTTGGATAATCTGCATTTCTACTGTTGACTACTTGCAAATAACCACATGCAATTGAAATAAAATATTTTCGCAAGGGTTTGAATAAGATATGTTGTTGTGTAGGGCTAAGGTACAAAGAAATGGTTATTTCAACTAGTGACTGATCGCATTGAGCTTCCCCACCTCCACATCAGTGTACAATCTTGCTATTCTCTTTTCACTGTTCTTTCAGAATTTTCTCAGGGAAATCAGATATTAAGAGGTTTTCCTAAACTTGCAAATGCAGTGGCCCAGGCTGATTTCCTTGCAAATGCCATAGATCTATCACTATACATTGTCTGTGACTATTAGGTCTGGAAGACAGGTCCCACGTCTTATGTAACTGTATATCCCTCGATCCTGGAACACAGTACCTGGTATGTTATAGGTGTACAATACACGTTTAAGTTAACTCTAAATATTTCTCACAAAAAGCATATTATTCCCAATTATTTTAATCAGTTTAAACTAAATGATGCCAAATAACATATGACCGGAACATCTCAGTATTCACCTCAACAAAGGTTCATTTCTTACTCCTGTCACATGTGTCTGATGGGTCAGCTACTGTCCTCCTCCATGTCTTCTTCAGTCTAAGACCCAATAATGGAGAGGAACTGCAGAACGTACAATGGATTGAAAGCATCTCTACAATAGTGGCACAATTCCTCATGCGCACTTTTGCCAGCCAAAGCAAATCTCATAGCCAAGTCTGACATCAATAGGGCAGAGACGTGTAGTCTTTCCACAGGAGTGAGGGGTGCCAAAAACCACATGGCCATGCCTGGCACCATGGGACCAGGAAGCATAATCTTCCTCCAGAAAGAGCAAAATTATGAGTGTTACAAATTGTTATACAAAGAAAGACATTTGCCTGATTGAGAATCTTGTTAATGACAGACTGGCTGTTTGGACAAAGTCTTTGGACTCCGGGTTTGAGGATTCCTTCCACTACACCACAGCTGTTCCCAGGTCTCACTTTGGCAGAGAAGCACCTGCCTGATCTACACTTTATGTCAGTCTCCACTGATAATCACATCAAGTTATCACACAAAAACATTTGGCCCTTGAATGTTTTATTCATAAAGATCATATGTCCAAAGGAATCCAAGCAAGCCAAGCCAGACAAAATTAACCAGCATGCCACAAAAAGTGGAGATAGAGCCAACACTGTGATTCTTAGTAAATGGAGTCATTTAAAATATTTTCTTAGTTTAAATGACTAGAGACAATAAGAAGTTAGTGGCACCTGAGAAAAACAACAAACTGTCCCCTCCAAGGATACAAAAAGAGAAACAATTGCTAATGATGTTTGCTGTCAGCAGGTCAATGTGGTGTGAGCAGAGTACCTGGCCACTGGACAATTGCATCTTGCAGTGACCTGGAATGAGGGGCCTAGGAGGAGCCTGGCACCAATAATTTAGAAAGGGCTTTAACAGTAGCGTGGTCAGCATTTCCAGAGTTAATTATTCCCATCTGCATAAGCACCGCCTAGTCCAAAATGGGCACCCAGATTGCCGATAGTTAATATCTGTTTGTCTCTCTCTGGCCAGTGAGTAGCTTTGCTCATGGAAAACACCTAACTCCATAAGACTCCTCAAGTGGAAAAAGCAAAGCAGAATTCACTGCTTTTTTAAAAAATCCTCTAGTTTCCTTTATGTTGCCTGGGTAACATATTGGGTCTTTGGGTGGTGTGGGGTACAAAAAGTTCAGTGCTGTCACAGTTGGCAACAGAGGCTTTATGAAACACCTGTTTCACATCTATGCCAATAACATTTCTAAAAGGATTGGGTTTGATTAAAATAGGCATGGTAAGTCAGGAATCCAACCTGTACAGAGTATATCAGGTTGCATAATGTGATGAAACACATACCTTCCCAGATGTTCTTCCAAGGGAACACATACAGTAAACATTGTCTTTCTGCCAGAATAAGGACTCCTTTCTGACCCCACCACTCTACACCCTTAGACCAAACACCCAACAGGCTGAGGCCAGCAGGCCAGTCACCAGTGCCATGCTGCCTTTGGAAGCCTTACACAACCTCATTTATGTCTTCCTTCAAGATGTGAAAGGTACAGAGGCAATGCCAGGTACTTTGAAGGACAAAAGGAGACTATGGGGCAATTTCCATGGCATCTTGTTACTCTGCACTGATAAGCAGTTGGCAGGCTTTCCTACAGGGCCTTCTCAAAACAGAGTCCAGAAGGCAGGCTCAGAATTGCAGCCTGGCTGCAGGCCACAGAGTGGCAGATGCATGTATTCATGGGCACGTCAAATTCATCACTTCAGCACCAGATTCATAGGCTCAACATCGATCTGTGAGATTGGACACTGGGTAATGCAAAAGGAAGTCTTTTGAAAGCATCCAGAGTTACTATAATTTCATCTGTGCAAGTCGTGCTAATAGCACCCAAACAAAAGAATAAATAAAAGAGTACCTTAACACTCAAGGAGAAAAAAGACCAGAAAAGGCTTTTCAGAGGTGTGGTCTCATAATCCCAGACTATTCAGTAGTTCACCCAGAGAAAATGGATTTGTAACTAAAGTCTTTTGTATTTGAGGCCAAAGCATCACTTGAAACCCATCCTATGCAAAATCATTGTCCCCTCTATGGAACACCACCACACTGGTGTCAATATAATACAAAGCTATGAATGAGACGTGGTTCCTAACCACCTAACCACCAAGTGAGATAAGGATGAAGTGTCGTAGGATGTCTGAAGAAAGAAATGAGTTTCCAGTACCGGTGAGACTAGGGGCAGCTTCACAGAAGAGAATCTGTAGATGTCTTACAAAGGAACAAGGACTCAAGCATGAGGGGTTGGGAAGAGAAAGAACTCATCAGATCCAGCTATCAGTGTAGTAAAGGTGTTAAGACCTTGTTCAGACCCCCTTTGCCAAATGGGGATCCCTGTTCCCAGCTGCTGGCGCTCTGGTGCTCGCAGCTCACAGCTGCTGAAAGTTTCTCTTAGTGGACCAGAGCACAGCCTGCCTCTGGGGATGGTGGATAGCCAGACACTGGCACAAAGGGCCAGCCCCTGCCTTAATATGGGGACCACCACGTGGTGCGGTGTGCTTATGAAGAGACCATCACACCCCTGCCATGAGTCGGGCAGAGACACTCTCTAAGAGAGACATCTTCTTCGCCGGGCCCCTCCCCTGTCCTATTCTGCATCCCTCTCTCCCTGGTGGACTTTTCTAGTGAACACTACTTTGGAAAATCACTTACACCTAAATTCCTTTCCTACATTTTGCTTCTATGACCCTCATATGAGACAGTGAGCCCCTGACTTTCCCTCGAGCGGCTGCACAGCTTGCACCAATAAGAAACTTTTGGAGGGGCCCTCCAGTCCTTCCGGAAGCCACCTGGCCTGTCTCCTCCCTTACTTTCGTCTGTGCCATCCAAACTGCCTCTCACATCCTGGGTCTTAGTTTTGTTCTACCCACTTCTGGAAATGCTCACTCTCCACTTACCCATTTCTTTCAAAAGCTAACTAAAGCTTTGCTTATTCTAAGGCTTCCCAGATTAAACTCTACCTATACTCCTTAGCTATGGATTTTCTAGCACTTAGAAATGTACCAAAACACACACCTATTTTTATTTTTCAGACAATTACATCAGAACTTAATCATCTGAATAGATGTTGTCACTTTCAAAATACTCATCTTGGCGAATTAATCACTTCCTCCAATACAGACACTGCCCATTATAATTTAGGGATTCCTCTTTTGGGTTTGCCTTCAGACTATGTATCATATACCATTCAGCATGGTAGCCTCCAGCAATTCTTTGCCTTTGAGGTTTTAGGAAATCAGAACCGTGACTGGCGATTGCAGGGTCAGTGAGATCATACAGGTATTTTGTAACTCCACAATTTACAACTCTAGAGCTATTCCTGGCTACATGAGATCCTTTCTCTCACAATGCTGCCCTAATCCAACCAATCCCAATGGTGGCAAACATTTGCCCCAGGAAAGTGGCTTTTCTTTCCCTTTTGAAGCACTTGGATCCATTCCTGATGAGTAAGGTAGGTACTGATTAATTCATTCAGAGAATATTTATTGAGCACTATATAAAGTGAGGCTGTAAAATCAAATTAAAGACAGAGCTTAGAGTTTATTGGGAGAAAAGTACAAGGAAATCAACACTGCAGAACAGTGCAGTGAATGCTCTAATAGAGATGCACACAGGGGTCCATCAGAGAAAGAGAAGTGAAGTTAAGCTGGAGGGGCAGGGAGACTCCTGGATACTAGGTTTGAAGGGTGAGTAGGAGTCTGCGAGAAAGAAGGAAGGCAGGGCAGTGAGCCAGAGGCCAAAGACATATGTGAAATTCTGACACAGCCAGACACGGCCACGACACTCCCTGTGAAGAGTGGGTTGGCAGACGAGAGAAGTCGTCAGGCTGCCAAGAGGTGTATCTGGAGAGCACTGTATCAGGACGTCGCTGAAGGAAGGGTCAGGCTGTAATAAAAGCCAACTAACAAAACCCAAGCAGATAGCGTAGTTAAAAACTAAAGAAGTAATCCCAGTATGTGTGCTCCTCATCTCTTCACATGAGCTGTCCTGATGAATCCTGGGGATGACAGCATGAGAGATAAGTTACTGCTTTCATTTTCAGGTGAGCAGACAGATGGGTGGTAACTTGCTCAGAATTATACAGCTAAAAATGAGAGTGCTAGGATTCAAACGTTTTACTCCAATGCCTAGAATGAGCCTCTAAAAAAATCTAGCAAGGGATAAGAACAGATACATTACTTTTTTTTCCCACCTGGTACTGGGAATTGAACCTAGGGCCTCTGCACTGAGCAACATTCCTGGAGCTTCCTTAAAAACTATTTTTAGTTTTGAGATAAGGTATTGCTAAGTTGCCCAGGCTGTGCTGCAACTTGCTATCCTCTTGCCTCGGCCTCTAGGATGCTGCAGATAGACAACTTAAAAAGGAAGTTTGAATTTTAAATAAATTTACAATGTTCAACCTAGGCATAAACCAAGGTATTAGACAGTAATATAATATTAAATCATTTTATACCCATTTAATAGAAAAACTATTTATTATCATATGCAGTGTCATCTACTTTGCATTACTCAGCTGGAATGAATACACTGATGATCATATTGCAAGTCTGCATACATCTTTTAGAAAACAATAAAATATATCAACAGTCATAAGCTGAGAGTGATGGCACGTGCCTTAAATCTCAGAGCTCTGGGAGGCTGAGGCAGGAGGATCGCAAATTTGAGCACAGCCTGGCAACTTAACAACTTAGTGAAACCCTATCTCAAATTTTTTTTAAAAATTGTTTTTTTAAGCACAGATGCTTGGTAACTCAGTAAAAAGGCCCTGAGTTCAATCCCTGATACCTAAAAAAAAAGTTATAAAAAAAGTTCATCCCCTTTTACCTACCTCTAGGGGATTTTACCTAAAAAAGCATTTTGTAAGAGGACAGTATTTATCAATGCAAAATTATCTTTAGTGGGGAAAAATTGAGAATTACTTTAACATGAAGTAGTTCAATCCCAAGTTGGGAAATGGTCAAACAGCAAATGAATGGGCTATTGTGCTGCCATTTAATGTGATCTTTATGTAAATTATGTAGCACTCTGAAAAATATTTAGAAGAAGTAAACTGTTACTTGAAGAGGTAGAATATAGTACACTGTTGACTGTCATGAGGAATATGGCCCAATATCCTTGCAAATAAGCGGAAACCACTGCAGCATACAATTTCCCCCTTATAATGCAGTAACTGAAAAATTGAAGTAATCCAAGACTCTAATGAATTTATGTATTTGGCATTTGCTTATAAAGCTATAAAAAATTCTACCAATAAAGTTAACCCTACGCTGCATTACATTATTAGTGCATTACATCATTAGTGTACTTACCTAAATCTGAAAAGAAATAATGTTTTGCTACTTCATGAGAATTCCATGCAAGCTCCATATGAAAAAAAATTTGTATTGAAATACAGGTCCCGGGAAGAGTGGACTGGGCTTGCTCACCAAAGGTATGATTCTTATTTCCTTGCACACTAGCTTTGGAATCTGGCCTTTTCAAATTAAAATCTCTACAAAAATGACAAAATAGTATGATCTTTGAAACCCAAGGCAAATAATTGAAATTGAGAATGTCAAATTAAGAATCTCAATAATGCACTACTATTCACAAGTATATATGTGTTCTGGTTACAACTATTCAAAAATGTAGATGTAGAGTCAAACCTGCCTGGAAATATGGAAAATGAAGACAACTGTATTTGGGTGAAAGAATTTTAAGTACTATTTTTCCTTTAAGACATTGGAAGGGTTATATTATTGTTTTATAACAAATAAAATTCACACAAATTGTTGGTCTGAATGTTGTCACATTTTTATAGGTCAGACTCCTTTAACCCATTGATATTTTATAGTTTTTACTATATTTTCAGAGTTTTGAGGCTGCAATAAATAAGTAGAACCTGGAGAATTAAGCCAAAACTGGCTATGCAATGAACCACATTGCACTTCCTGTGGCATTCCACCAGAGATGCCAACAAACCAGCAGTGTCTTTGTATTCACACAGTGCTGAAGACACACCAGCACTTTATCTCCCAAGTGGGGCTGATGTTCTTTCACTGGTAAAGAAACATGCCACAGTACCTGTGACTCTCCTAATCAATTCAAAAGGAACTATGAACTATATCCAGTGGCATGATACACGTGACAATGGGAGGGATGGGGGGAGAGCCAGAAGAATAGAAATAATTCACGCAAACCAGCCCTGCAAACCAGTTTTCTTTTACTCGATTTTACAATTCCTAGTGCTAACCTCCATGTGTCATTCTATCTGTCACCTACATTTGCACCAAAGATCTATCTGTCACCTACATTTGCACCAAAGATGAGGTGAGCAGACAAAGCAAATAGGAGAAGCCCAGCCTAAACATTAGTACGTGAAAAAGCCAAAGCCTGTGTATCTGATATTCCTCCAGCAGATGTGGTGTTACAGGAACACTTAACTGAGAAGGTGTATTACATTAGTCAGCTCAGACTGCTATAACAAAATACTACAGACTGGGTGGCTTAAATAACAGCAGTTTATTTTATCAGATTTCTGGAGACTAGAAGTCCAAGACTAAGTGCCAATATGGTCAGATTCTCTTCCTTGCTTGAAGACTGTTTGCACAAGGTGGAGAGAAAGAGGGAAACTTCTCTGCTTTATCTTCTTAAAAGGGCACTAATCTTAGTGGATCACAGTCCCACTCTTAGGGCCTCATTTAACCTTAATTACTTCCTTAGAAGAAATCCCATATTCCAAGACAGTCTACACTGGGAGTTACAGCTTCCACACATGACTCATAGGAAGGACACACATTTGATCTGTAATGTCTGTGTTTTCTGCTTTTGTAGGAAGGGTCACAGTTGTTTAAGTGCATGAGTTTTGCAGTTTGTAAAAGCTTGTCTTTTTTCACTTCATTTAAATAAAACTCACTAACAATTCAGAAAAAGGAATTCTGCTATTAAAAAAATAAAATAACCTAAAAGAAACATCAGTAACAAAGACTAACAGGGTGGAGAACATTGATGGAACATAGATGGAAACTGTGAATTTTCAATGAAACTCAATTTTCTCTTTTTACTAATGAAACTTCATAACATCTTAATACTCTGGATTTAATGTAGTTTTATTATCAAGTATATAAGTTCAACAGAGAAATAGAGAGGAGTCTAAGGATAAGAATAGAAGATAAAAGAACATTTAAACTTTGTGGAGTATTCCCACCTCGTTCCTTACCACAGTGCAGAGTTGAGGAATGGTAGAGAGGAAGAATTACAGCAACTACAATCACACCTTAAAAAGCTCTCCTTGTACAATCAGTACACTTGAGACATCAGCAGAAAAACTCAACTAATAAAATACTGAACATTCTCCACTGGCCAGATGCACTGAACCTTCATCCTACGAGATCTTGAGATCTGCCATTTACAGATGAAGAAAAAGAAATGCAAGCAAATTAGGCAGCCTAAGAAAAAGAGTACAATGAACATCGTGGTTGATTCTCAGATGTGCCCACACATCATGCTAATGTAAAGCAACCAGGCTGTTGCCTCCCTACAAAAACTATCTCCACAAAACATCTGACTCATATTAGCACAGACACTTGGGAAATTCATTATCTCATGCAACACAAAGTCCAGAGGTTGGGCTAGCTGTGGAGCGGTTGGGGTGGACAGCTCAGCGATATCATTGAAAACCTTTGCCCTTTCTCCCTTGCCCCTCTACTATCCTTGGTGGTACCCTTGTTGAGAGGATGCATCACATCACTGCTGGAGGGAAAAGATAGTTCTCTGGCCGAGATGCTCTTTCAGGAGAAGCACATTTTTCCCAGAAGCCTTCAGGAGAAATGTCTCCCAGGAACTTGCCAAATGAGGTTTGGGTGAAATCTCAGCTCTGCCACCAGTTATTTGTGTGATCATGGGCAAATTATTGCTCTGCTTTAAGCTTGTTAGCTCATCTGAAAGTTGGGGAAAATAATAGCACTTGCCACAAAAGGTTGTTATCTTACCACTAGCTGTTTCTACTCAGTGACTCTTCGTTCTCAGAGAAAGGAACCCACATGACTTTTGGTACTTAAATTCTCCATCAGAATCCTTATAATTTCTAAATAGAAAGATTTTTATTTTTTCCTGATATATCAAACCTGTGTATTTTCTTCTGATGCTAAGTTTATCTGTCTCAAGAGAAGATGCCTCTATGTCAAAGACAAGTGTCTCAGTTACTTTCTCATTGCTGGGACAATACCCACAAGTTAAAGGATAACAGGTTTATTTTGGTTCAGTTTGTAGATGTTTCAGTCCATTGTCGACTGGCTCCAAGGCAGGCTGGCATGGCAGAGGAGAAGCAATCCATGGCATAGCACTTAGGAAGCAGCAGGGCCTTCCTTCTTCTTTTCCTTTTTATTCCATATAAGCCTATCAGTTGGTGATACCTACCCCCAGCATGAGCCTTCCCTCTTCAGTAAATCCATCATTCACACCCAGAACTGTGCTAAATCAACCAGTGGACTAATCCAGTATCACACACATTATCCAGTCATTCCCAAAAGCCCCACCTATGAGTGCATGAGGCTTTGAGGGGTCACCTATATATAAGCCATAACGGCAACGTAGTTAACACAGCCCTGATGTTACTAAAAGAACTTTTTCTAGCCTTCTGTGAGGTTTGTCCACTTTCTCATGTTTCTAACAGGACCAGTAACCCAAATGTAGATGCAGACATTAAAAACCAAAACACTACAACCATGTTTCAGGGAAGTCATTCAGATGCTGTGAAACTTTTGTGTTTATTTTTTCCTCATTATAGACATGAAAACACAAAACGTAAACATTCTAGTAAAATCCTAAAAACATATATATAGTTTATAATGGACTTATAAGGATACACACCAAGTTCAAGAATTTAGAAAAGTTTTGTGTAAGAGGCCAGATAATAAAAATGCTAGACTTCAGGACCATTTGATCTTTTTCCCATTTACGAAACTCTACTAGCACGAACGCAGTCACAGACATTCAGTGAACAAGTAGATGTAGATGTGCTCCGATAAAACTCTGATAATGGAAATAGACATCAGCTTGACCCAAGGGCCAATATGTCAACTCCTGCTTTACTGTGTGAAGATAAAATGGGCACAAATCTCCTGTCAACTCTGATTTTTCCCATCTATTTGTGTTTGCAAGTTTGTGCTTTGTTCATATCACCTTTCTTTCCATATCATTAGAATTAAGATATAGTCATTTTTTCAAACATTTAATTCATTCAATCAAACATGTAATTTTTGTGCCTATAGTTCCATCCTTACATAGCTCTCTCTCTACTTCATATGATCCTGTACTATATTTTTGTGATATAGGTGGAATTGATTAAGAAAATTAAAAATTGAGCAGTAGCAGGAATACAAATCAATTTTCAAAAACTTCTGATGAGCAATTGAAGCTGGTCTCTTTGAAATGTGAGCAAACTCTTCTTTGAATGACTTCTCTAAGGATCAGTGAAGGAGGAAAGGCAGAAAAGTCACAATATAACAGAAAACATGCTAGGATTGAGGTTGATTGTTGGTGCTGCCAATATTCAGCTATGTGACCTTTCCTTGAAAAAGTTATTTAATTTCCCTGAAAGTTGATTCTCCTTCTATAAAGTAAAAGATTTAGATTAAATACACTGGACTAGACAAGTCCCAAATCCACTCAAGCTTTGAATGTTTAAAATGTGTCAGCCAAGCTATACTGAAAGCCTTCTATCACATCAAAAACACAAGTTAACATAGAGTCCAGCCCCTCGTGGAGCTCAAACACACATCCTATGAAGGGCACTACTTTGGATTCCCTAATACCAAGACGTTTCATTCACCTTGGGGGCTACAAGGACCTTATGGAAAGATCCTTGGCTTAAAAGATTCTCATCTGGTGTGAGAATCAGACACGCAAGTGCTAACTATGATTCAAGGCAGAGTGAAATGAAGGATAAACAGATGCAATGGGCCTGTGGGGAGAGGTAGTGTCGAGTCTGGATTTTAATTCAGAAGGAGAAGTATTTGAATTGGGCCGTGAAATTTCCACAAACGTAGAAGGGTTCAGGTGATAGAAGTCTCTGCTATCAAAGGGTAGTTCGAGTGGAGAAAGATGGTAACTGTACCAGTCATGGTTCTCCAGAAAAACAACCAACAGAGGATGATAGATATACAAGATGATATAGAGATAGATGTAGATACAGGTGATAAAGACAGAGGTGATATGGATATGTAGTTATATATCTATAGACACATATATATGATTAATTACAGGAATTGTCTAACACAGTAATGGAGGCCAAGAAGTGCCACAATCTGCCACTGAAAGCTATAGAACCTGGAAATCCCAGTGGTGGAATTAGGTCAGAAGGTCTGTGAAGGGGGCGGCAGTGGGGAAGCGGGGAAGGTGTAGGCCCCTGTCTGAGTCTGAAGGATGGATATCTTCTCAGCTAGACTGAAA